AGACACAGCATAAGTGGTAGGACCTAGCCCCCCCCCCCGCCATTTTCAGCACACTTGAACTTCCTTGTTGCCCTCAACTTACTGATTATCTCGTGGAGTCTGGTGGGCAGAGAGATCGACAAATGTACATTCAACTTATGTGAATTCGGCAGTTGCTCCTGCCAGGGCATGAAGGTAGAGAGAGGTCCTAAATGGTGTGAGGGAATCTGAGGCAGAGGATGAATCACTGTCACTTCCTCTGGCTGTTCCTGGTGTGAGCATCCCACGCTCTGAATGAGCATCCACAATCAATGAACTATATTTTGCAAACCAGCCCCTCAAAGCAAATCGCTGCTAATCTGGTGCACAGCCTGAGAAACTGGGATCTGTCTGCTGCGTGGAAGCAGGAGATGCTCTCTCTGTACGTACGCCTGGAGCGTGAGGAGGCTGGTCTACAATATGACATCTTCCTAAGAGGCCACAGGGCTGTTTTGGCCATCAGTGGTTTTCTTCTTACGTGCTTGCTTTAGGATCTGACTCCCACACCAGCTGTGACTGATCAGCCACACTGATTCACACCTAAACTCCTTGGTTTCTGAGTCTGTCTCCCTCAGCCTCCTGGGTACTCCCCCAGAGCACTGTGCCATTAACATGTCTCCCGGGTGCCCAAGCTTCACCAGACCCTGGTTAGACTTTTATTACTATTATTTTTCCATATGGAGAGCCAACTGTCCCAACTCTAATTATTGAACATACCGGTGTCTTTCCTTCATGAGTTACTATACTGCCTTAGTTGTTTCTGTGTTTCATTTTGGGGTCTAAAGAATCCAGATTTCCATGCAAACTCCTTTTGCAAACAAGGACAATGAAACATTTACAGTTCATTGTAAAGGAGCTGCTCAGTTCATTGTCGTTGGACTGAGAAAGTGAATGAGATCCAAGCCCCTCCAAAAACCACATCCACAATGGAGGCACTAGTTCTGACACATCTAAAACTGTTTCAGTGATATCTGTCAGTCTTTTAAACTGTATTTGACAAATCTGGGAGAGATGACTCCCCTGGTGTTTATCTGGTGGAATCTCCTTTTCTTTTTTCTTTTCTTTTTTTTTTTTTTTTTTGCATTTGTTTCCTGTTTCTCTTACTATTGCAAAGATAGAGAGGAGAGAGAAGAAATAGCAAGGAGTGTTTATAGACCCTCTTGTGACAAGGTGAATAATGAATGGTGATTAAAGCCATTGGACATTCCCACCTGAGAAGTTCTTGGTGGGAGGGAACTAGCATAATAAGTTGGTGGAGGTGGGGCTCTGAAGAGAGGCCCAGGGTGGTGCCCCACACTTCTTCCTCAATGCCCCAAGCCTGGGAGTTTAGGAGCAGCCACTGAGAAGGCGACCTTGATTTCTTTCAGTCCAGAGGATCTTGCAATCACATCAGCACAGATCTGAAATATCAGACCAATGAAATACAATGTTCTCAGGGAGGTGAAAGACAGAGATACAGAAGAAAACTCTCACCCATTTCCTTTAAACCACAGGCCATTTGTCAAGTGCTCAGAAGTGCCAGACCCCATGGGGAAGGGGGGCTGAGATTTTATTCCACGGTGCTGGGGTTTGCAGGGTCAAGGTGTAAGAGGGATGGTGAGTGAGGAACAGGGGGATGAGCAAGCACAGTGTGCTGAAACTCCAAGCATCTGTGATCAAACGATCTTATTTTACCTATGCCGTGGGGTCTCTGTTTCTTTGATTACAGTGAAATAAACAGAGAGGTGGAGTTGATGGGCAGCAGGAGTCCCCATCTCAAGAGTGTATAGGGTGGAATCATCTTCTCACTCCCACTCCCCCTACCCCAGCTCACTTCTTCATCAAATGGGATGAGGGGCAGTTACAAATGGCAGCTGCATGGGTGATGCGTCCTGGACTGTAACCCTACAGCCTGTAATACACACCACCCCTCCTGCTGCAGAGGTGCTGAGACTCTGCTATGCAGTCTTTAGCTTAGTGTCCCCTCTGTATGCCAGACGGATCACTCAAGCCCCGGTTCTCTGGTCTGGGTCCCTGGAGGACAGAGTAGAACTTGCTGGGTTGTTCACATCCAGGTCAGCATAAGGAAACACGGTAGACATGTTGCAAGAGCTCCAAGAGTGAGTCCTTGTAAAGGTTTCATCATCCTTGTTTGCAAAATGAGTTTGCATGGAAATCTGGATTCTTTAGACCCCACAATGAAACATACAAACAACTAAGGCAGCACTAGTAACTCAGGAAGGAAAGACACTGATATGTTCTGTAATTAGAGTTGGGACAGTTGGCTCTCCATATGGAAAAAATAATAATAAAAGTGAATTCCTACCTCTCATCCTCCACCAAAAGAGGTGTTTTCAATGCAGATTACCAGGTTTCATTCGAGGCCAGCCAGGTCTGAAAATTTTTTCTTTTTTTTCTTTTTTTTTTTGTACCAGGGATTGAATTCAGGGGCACTCGACCACTGAGCCACATCCCCAGCCCTATTTTGTATTTTATTTAGAGGGTCCCACTGAATTGCTTAGCCTCACTTTGTGAGTTCAAACCCAGCCTCGCTTTTGCTGAGGCTGGGTTTGAACTCACAATCCTCCTGTCTCAGCTTCCTGAGCCACTGGAATTATAGGCGTGCGCCACTGTGCCCAGCAAGAACTTTGTCATTTTTAAAATTGATAAATTAGACTGTGAACTCTCTGAAAGCAAACTCTGGCTGTTTTTGTCATTAAATCATTATATACTAAGTATGGTCCCTAGAATACATTATGAACCTAGAAAATATTTGTTGATTAAATAAAAGATTTCAATGATTCTTTTAAAATGAATTTATTGAAGAGATTAGACCTTTTCCTTTGGTCATCATTAATACTACAATGGACTACCACATACCCAGAATTATTTGGGCTACTTACCTAGCTGAAAATAGGAAAAAACTGAGTTGAGATATTTTGGTGAGCTTGGCTTTGGTCTCCTCTGAATCTAATTTTAAAAGATTTGAAAATATTGCATGTGCTCTTAGAGTAGCTAGGCCCACCCAAAATATTATTATTTTTGTATGTGGTACTGGGGTTTGAACTCAGGGGGGCAAGTGCTCTACCCCTGAGCCACATTGCCAGTCCATCACCACCCAAAATATTATTAAACCATATTTAGGTATATCCATAATTATTCCACTGTTCGTTTATTAAATACCTTCTTTGTGTAGACAGACACTCTTTTGAACACTTCTCCTCAATTCTAGTAAAATAATATATAAAATGAACACCACCATTCCCCATGTGCATTGTGATGGATTTGGGCGTTTATATACAGCAGGTAGTCGCCACCATAGTCAAGACCCAAAACAGTCCCTCATTGTGACATTGGTCACGATTCTTACAATCAGGGAGTCCTTTTAAATTATGCCTCAAAAAAGTTGATTTTAAAAGAAATGGGGGAAGGTATAGCTGAGAAATGAAAAGCTCTTGGTAGATTGCAGTCTACTCACTGACCTCTTTTTGAGCACCTTATGTGTACAGGCTCCATAACTGGTACCGATTGACCATGTCTTTATGCCAGAACAGGGTGAGACAGAAGCCCCCGTGTTGGTGCTGTGGTTCCATCAGTCTGTATGGGCCCCGGGTTCCCTCCACAGGACCCACCTACAGCCATCTATCCCACCCCCCTCGGCTCCCAGACCAGCCTGCCTACGAACAGAACCCTACAATCAAGACCAGGGCAGGGGCTGCTAAGAAGGGCTCTTCCCCTTTGGTCTAGAGCATTTAAACATTAATCAAGCAATCAAATAGGATAGAGACTGGGCTTGTTCATGAGCATGGCCCCATGATGACACGGGCACTTCTCTGCTTAGTAATCAGTCCCCACCTGAATCCCAATCTGAGGTAATAGTCTTTTTTAACTTTCCAAGCTCATTGATACAGTGTGTTTACTTCCAATTTCTGCAAACATCTTCCTACCCCACCCTACTCCTATACATATGTATGTTCTGGACGTGCAAAGTGCTACAGCAGGAGACAGTGGCTCTTTGCAGATAAACGTGCCTCTTCACTGGGGTATTAGTCAGCTTTCTGTCACTGTGACAAAATGCCAGAGAAAATGGACTTGAAGGAGGAAAGACTTACTTTGGCTCAGGGTTTTAGAGGCTTCAGTCAATAATCACTTGGCTTCATAGTTTCTGGGCATGCAGTGAAGCCTTCCATCGTAACAGAAGCACATGACAGCCAGGAAGCAAGAAGAGAGGAAGGGGCTGGGGACAAATGTAGCCTTCAAGGGCACACCCCCAGTGACCTTCTTCCTCCTCCAACTAAGCCCACCTCCTAATAGCCACTTAAGCTACCAATGAATTAATTTATGCATGAGATCAGAGCACTTTTGAAGGTTCCACCTCTGACCAAACCTTCCACACGTGAGCTGTTGGGAAGCAACCCAGATACAAAATCATGACAGATGGTTTCTTCTACAGTCATATCAAGACGATAAGTGGAGCCGGGCATGGTGGCACACGCCTGTAATCCCAGGAGTTTGGGAGGTTGAGGCAGGAGGATTACAAGTTCAAAGCCAGCCTCAGCAGTGAGGTGCTAAGCAACTCAGTGAGACCGTGTCTCTAAATAAAATACAAAATAGGGCTGGGGATGTGGCTCAGTGGTCGAGTGCCCCTGAGTTCAATCCCCGGTTCTCCTCCCTGCCAATAAAAAGACAAGTGAAAGTGACTCTGGTCGTTATTTAATACTGTAAGTCGGGTGTCTGAAAACAAATTGCTCAAGATATCTGGGACATGGTTTTTAACTTGTAGCAAAATCAGTAATCCAAAGAAGAGACAGACAGATGTTCGTGCCCGGCCAGCAGTGCCCTGGTTCTTTGGTGCCAGCAATGTCAGCGCCGTCGTTTTGCACCATCAGACCAGGAGGGAAGGCACGAGGTGTGAGAGAGGGCATCCTCCCTGAGCCAGCTGACAGGTGGGCAGGTGTGCAGACCTACTCATCCGCTCACTGCATCTTTCTTCCTCCCTCCAGAGGCTTCTGAGATTGCTCTGCCCCAAGGAAGCAACATTACCATTCTCATAAAGCGGGGGACATCAGCTCCACCAGCGAAGCCCTGCTTCATCATCGTTTCTAAAAGGCATATGACTGTGTTGTTCATCAAAGCTGGAGAGAAAATGGTCTTTACCTTTAGCTGCCAGGACCCACAGAACCACTTTGTCATGGAGATCCAGAAGAATATCGGTAAGTTGGCCCCCCGGAGCCGTGGGCTGTGGCCCCGCCCCTCCCTGCCTCTCTTTCCCCCACGAAGGTGGACAGGTAGGCTCTGCACTCTCCCTATCCAGCTTTTGTGTGGCCAGTTCTAAGTGCCTTACACAGGTTAATTTGTCTGATCTCCAAAAGATCTCTAAGAGACGTTCCCAGAGAAGGACTTGTCCAAGATGGCACAGCTAGTAAGTCGCAGGCCAGGGGAGGAGCCCAGAACTCTGGATCCAGAGTCTGTCCTTAACCACTCAGCCACATGGTCTCTTCATGGAGTCCCAGAGAGGCCCACGAGCTGCAGATCTTCAGGTCAGCAAAAGTCAAAGGAGTTCACCTTCGTCCATTTGTGCTACTATAACAGAATCCCTGAGACCGGGTGATTTATAAAGAACAGAGATTCATTTTCTCACGGTTCTGGAATTTGGGAGGCCCGAGGTCAAGGTATAGAAAGTGGCAAAGCAGGAGAGAAAGAGAGCTCTCCCTTCAACCTTAAGCTCTTTTGAGGGGTCCAAACCCATCCATGAGAGCTCCTTCAGTCTGCGGGTTTTGGAGGAGACACATTCAACCCATGACAGAGTTGGAAGCAAAAGGAATCAGAAGGTTGAGGAGGTAAGAGGGGCCATGTGTCCACAAGCACCAGGAATAAACCAGCTTTAGAGAGTGGTCAAGCTGGATTTAGCTTCAAGCTCCAGGGCTGAGTCTGTGACCTATCCTGAGGCTTCACATGAGTTACTCGACTGTTTTGTGGCTTAGTTTTCTTATCTATGAAATAAGAGAGTCATCATACCAAACCACTAAGGTTGGTAGGAGAATGAAATAAAATAATGGATTGAAAATGTATAACACAAGAATTCAAAGTATATGTATTTGATATTTTTATTATTCATAATTTGAGCTTGGGATAGCAGGTTGATATGAGAAGCAGGCAGGGGTGGGGGAGCTTTCAAAATTTCTGGTTTTCCAATCGGCATGCCAAATAAGAGTTAGTGGATATTAATGACAGTGAGAGCATTAAAAGAGCTATAGTTTAAAAAACTATATTTGCTGGGCACAGTTGGCGCACTCCATATTCATCAGACACAGAAGTGTTACCAATAAAACAAAGAACAGAGTAGGAATTCCCATCCTGCAAGCTGATGGTCTCCATTATCCAGAATTTCTAATTAAATATTTATGGATGATCTTAACAAGGACACACAATATGTCTGAAGCAAAATGGAAAATTTTGCGGAAAGACAAAAGAAAAGACTTCGATAAAAGAAGAGAGCTATCACATTCCTTGACAAAAAACACTTAGTGTTTTTAAAGCATCAATTCTCCCCCAGATTAATTTATCAGTTTAAATTGATGGCAATTAAAGCCTCATTGAACCCTTTACAGAGCTGAGTAGAATGTCAGTATACTTTAAGAATCCAGTGGAATGGTGTGTCGCCATTAAAAGAATGTTAAGTTTGTGTATTTGTCATGGAAAGACGCCAAGGGTAGTTTGGTTCCATTAAGAACAATGCAGAAGGCTGAGGCAGGAGGATCATGAGTTCAGAGCCAGCCTCAGCAATTTAACGAGGCCCTATGCAACTCAGCAAGACCCTGTCTCTAAATAACATACATAAAAAATAAAAAAGTGGGAAGCTGGGCTGAGTATGGCTCAGTGGTTGAGCACCCCTGGGTTTAATCCCCAGTACCAAAAAAAAAAAAAAAAAGAAAGAAAAGAAAAGAACAATACAGTCTATAGCAGAAGAACAATTTGTTGCATTATGTGAATGATCACACACATAACATGCACACCCACACGCATACACATAATCATACAGAGCCCAAAGTCAGGAGAGATAAAGAACAAAATGCTAATCCCATACTATATCTACTGGGGATGGGGGAAAGGAACAGGTGACCTTCGCTTTCTTCTTTCTATCCTTCTGTACTGTCCTTTGTTTTCTTTCTTTCTTTTTTAACAAGTGTTCATTTCTTTCTATTCCATTCCATTCCATTCTAAGTTGCTGGGGATAGAACCCAGGGCCCCAGCTTGCCAGGCAGGCCCTCTGCCACCAAGCTCCATCCCCATCCTGTGCTCTACTTTCAGAATCAGTTCAATAAAGTGACTTCCTTTTAGAAAAAGCTAACAAATGACATGTCACAAGCAGTTGACTATATTCTGCCTCTTGGCCCCAGGATGCCCACGCTATTTGCTAGGTAGTAAAAATGCATGCTCTTAACTTTTGAAAGTGATAGGAAAAAATCAATTTTTAAAATAACCAATCTAGACACTGGAATCAAATCCAGTGGTCTGCCCGCCCCCTCACTTCCTTTTCTGGATAAGCAACAGAAAGTTTCAAGGGAAATCTGACATCTCTGTTCTCGTCCCGACTTCAAGTTAATGGACGTAGAGATAAAGAACAAAATGTTAATCCCATACAATCCTGCTTTCAATCCTGCAAGCAAGTTAATGGACGTAGACATCTACGGGGGGAAAAAAACAGGTTGTCAATCACTTCAGAAATGACACGTCTCCCTCCTCTGGATATTCCTAGATTCCTTTGAGTTGTTTAAAATTTGTTTCAGTGGATAGAATGCAGGAGCCACACCAGAAGGTGTGGAGCCATGAGGCTCATTTGGACTATTCCAGGGTACCAGGGATTGAACTCAGGGACACTCAACCACTGAGCCACATCCACAGTCGTATTTTGTATTTTATTTAGAGACAGGGTCTCACTGAGTTGCTTAGCGCCTCACTTTTGCTGAGGCTGGCTTTGACCTCGCCATCCTCCTACCTCAATCTCCTGAGCTCCTGGTTTTACAGGCATGTGCCACTGTGCCCGGCCTGGAATATTCTTATCTCTGGGTCCATCCTAAATACCAAAGTAATGAATGAAAAATTGTTCAGGGGCTGGGGTTGTGGCTCAGTGGTAGATTACTGGCCTCGAATGTGCGAGACCCTGGGTTCGATCCTCAGCACTACATAAAAATCAATAAGTAAAATAAAGGTATTGTGTCCAATTACAACTAAAAAATAAATATTAAAAAAAAATTGTGTTCGGAGCCTAGCTCTTTCAGTACCATGGCAGGTGGCAGAGCTGAGGCTGGGAGGTGAGGCCTTTCAACCTGGGTCCTTGATATGGAATTAAGTCAGAATCCCTTGGGTGGTCCAAGTATGCATATTTTTAAAATATTCTCCAAGAGGGTCTAGGGTGGAATAAGATCTGAGAGTTTTAATGGAGCTAAATGATCCCACAAGAGTACAGAAACCATCAGGGCCCAAGTAATGCATGGAAAGTTAAGAGGTGGCTTAATATAAACAACCAAGTTTCCATAAGCTCACCAAATAGGTACTCTCTTTACCAACACAGAAAGTCTAATTCCAGCCACATTAGTCACCTCTTTATCTAACCCTGTTTTGTTGATATGGCTGCAGAGTGCATTGGCAAACTTGTGGTTGATCAAACACAGACTGGGCCTTTGTCCTGGCATTGATGTGTATTGCAAGTGGTTAGAATCAAGACACCTGGACTCCAGAGCTGTTTTGCAAAAATGAGAGGTTTGGCTGTGGATGACTTCAGAAGTGCTAGACAGCTCCAAATTTTAGCCGTCATTCTATTTGAAGTCAACAGTCCTTTCAAACAACCCACAAAAGCAAGAATAGCTGTGCATGGTGGCCCACACCTGTAATCCCAGCAACTGGGAAGGCCGAGTCAGGAGGATTGCAAGTTCAAGACCAGCCTGGACAATTTAGCAAGGCCCTTAGGAATTTAGAGAGACCCTATTTCTAATAAATAAATAAATAAAAAGGGCTGGGGATGTAGCTCAGTGATTAAGCACCCCTTGGGTTCAACCCCTCTACCTCCCCCCCCCCAAAAAAAAACAGGAATAAATATTTAAATATTTGCAGATTATTATTACAAAAGCCATCACACCCTTCAGAACCCCTGTGCACTGAAGTGCCTGCGTTCTATCACCTGTCTCCACTTATTTCTTCCTTGATAGTAATGCGTTTCACTTTGTTTTAAAAGGCTTGGGAAACAAAATACTTTAAAGGGTGTCATTAGTTGTGAGCACTTAAGAATTCAACTACAATGGCACTGAAACACTCCCATAAAGCCACACAACAGGAAGATCACTTTGCTGCAGGCTCCAGACACCCAGGAGTTGTAGACTTGGGGTGCACACCTCAGCATGTGGGTGAGGATATTGATGGGGAACGCAGGTGTAAAAGGTGGATCTTGGCACTGCGCCCTAGAAATTGTGAAACCAGAACTCAGAATAGGGGAAGTTGGACATCCCAAAGCACGGGCTTCATTGCACGCAGCCTTCTTCTGGCCTCCAGTAAGGTCTGGTCAGAGGTCCACCAGCCGGGCTCCACTTGGTCAGGAAAACACAGTAGTTAGAGCCTGGGACAAGGGTTTTTGTTTAAGTCATTTATCAAGAGTGTTCCCAGAAGAAACCCAAAGTGAGGGAAGCAGGAAAAGCCAGGGGGAAGTGAGCACAGATGTGGTTTCTGCTAACATCTGGCCTCAGCCTGTTCTCACGGAGAGGGCTGGAGCATGAATGGCACCCCGGGTCATGCCACTCAAAGCAGGAGTCAGGCTTTTTGGTCCTGCCTCAAGCAGTTATTGGCTGAGGACTGCAACTCCTGCCTTGGGATGGGAGTGAGGGGGCCGCCAAACCTCTTAGGCTTTTCTGGTCAAAAAACTGAGGCTTAGACCAGACCCAGCTGAGGCTCTCCCCAGACCCGCAGCAGCTGGGGAGTGAGTGCACCTGCTGGTCAAAGCCACCTGGGCAGAGCCCCAGAGGGTCCGCTCCAGGGGGCTGAGAGGAGCAGTGTGTGGCCTTACCACATCCATGATCAAAATCGCTCTTGTGGATTCTTGCAGACTGCATGTCAGGCCCCTGTCCTTTTGGGGAAGTTCAGCTTCAGCCCGCGACATCGAGGTTGCCCACCCTCAACAGAACTTTCATCTGGGACGTCAAAGCTCACAAGCGCATCGGCCTGGAGCTGCAGTTCTCTCTCCCACGGCTGAGGCAGATCGGGCCCGGGGAGAGCTGTGCCGACGGGGTCACTCATTCCATCAGCGGCCGCATCGATGCCACTGTGGTCAGGATCGGCACCTTCTGCAGCAATGGCACTGTGTCCCGGATCAAGATGCAGGAGGGAGTGAAGATGGCCTTGCACCTGCCGTGGTTCCACCCCCGAAATGTCTCTGGCTTCAGCATTGCCAACCGCTCGTCTATAAAACGTGAGCACACCCCTCCCTCCCTAGTGGGTGGACGGAAACACGGGAAGTGGCCGACGTTTTTCTAGGGCAGGGATGGCACATGGTCGGCCATTCTGTAGCAGTCAACTAATGCCCTCAAGGAAGATCCCATGCTCCTATAAGCCACTTGGGCCACTTGTGAGAGCCTCCTTTCTCAAACAAACAGAATGTCTCTTTTCTTTGTCCTGTCTGCATATGATATTTATTTTCACAAACTTGGTTGCCCTACCTCTGTCTCCATCACATTTTCTATATGGGTGTCAGTGAGTGCACGCTCACAATGGCTCCTGGGGGTTGCTCCTTAAGTGTTCTGGAATTTTGTGAGCTGATGTTAAACAGAGTAGGTCTCAGCAATAACACTGTATAAACTTACAATTCAAGAAAGCATTTTAGAAGCAAAGGTCATAAATACACCCAGCTCATCACTTCCTAATTATTTTACTGCATTTTACTATGATCTCTGATCTCCAGGTTATTTATGACTATCCTACCTTTTTGGCAGACATACAATATAATGGTGTCTGTTGCCCGACTCTGTATCCAGTTGTGTTGGAAGCTTGAAGTCAGCCGTGGTGGGAGTATTTACACCAAGGAAATGGGCACAGTCCACAAAGTAGGGCTTTTCCCTTGCTGAGTGTAAACATACATCCAAACTCACTCCTAGGAGTTGGGAACTGTGATTGTGTAGTCACCTCCTTTTCTTTCTGGTCGGGTTCCATTCCCCACAGGCCTGTGCATCATCGAGTCTGTGTTTGAAGGGGAAGGCTCAGCCACCCTGATGTCTGCCAACTACCCACAAGGCTTCCCCGAGGATGAGCTTATGACGTGGCAGTTTGTGGTCCCCGCACACCTGCGGGCCAGCGTCACCTTCCTCACCTTCAACGTCTCCAACTGTGAGAAGAAGGAAGAGCGGGTGGAGTACTACATCCCCGGCTCCACCACCAACCCCGAGGTGTTCAAGTTGGAGGACAAGCAGCCCGGGAACATGGCTGGGAACTTCAACCTCTCCCTGCAGGGCTGTGACCAAGACGCCCAGAATCCAGGGATCCTGCGACTGCAGTTTCAAGTTTTAGTCCAACATCCACAGAATGAAAGCAGTAAGTAAGCCTGGCTTTCCTCTCCCCATCTCCTGCACACCCTCTCTGATTCCCTGGGGAGTCGGCTTGGGTGGGGTCCCTTGCCTGTTTTCTCATCCGGGCTCCTGGAGCACTTGGACTCTGGCCCCTAGAAGAGTTTCAGGAAGTAGGTTGCTAGGTAACAAGAGGCTCTCTGGTGAACACCCAGCATGCAGTTTCATTTTAGCTCAATAAGCAAGCAGCAAACGTGATCTTGCATTTAGGGTGCTAAGTTGTTTTTAATGAAACCCAGGGAAGGCCTCTTTCTAGACCTCAGGTCTTGACCCTGCAGCGTGAATGAGTTGTCACCAGCACTGTCAGCATGATGATGACAGCTATCAGTTTTTTAGCTGAGCACCCGCTACCATGGACACCCACTGCAAGCCAAGCCCTGTGCCAAACACTTACAAGGCATCCTTATCCTTACTGCGGCCCTGTAGGGGAGATGGGAATGATCTTTCATTAATGAAAAACCAGAAGGTTCAGAAAGGTTATGAAAAAGGTTGTGAAACCAGCCCAGTGTCACACAGCTTCTCAGGAGCAGAGCAAGCCTATGGTCCAAGCCTCTGGACCATACTGAGCTCTGGGCAGATGGGACACTATTCCACAGACATTGCTGAGACACCATGAACCTAGAGGTGGAGAGTCCAGCTCAGGATTGGATGCATTCAAGGGACCAGGATGCAAAATTTAAGGAGGCACCCACTTGGAGGAGCCTCACCCTCGTCCTGGCCCTATTGTGACTTTTGAGATCAAAGCGGAGGAGTCAGTGTCTGTACCTGGGCCCATCATGCACTGAAGTCTGGGGAGGAGTGAGTTATGACAGGTGGTCTTCAAGAGGACACTTCTGACACGCACTGAGGGTGGGCTCTGTCCCGAGGGCTGGTTCTCATTCTTGTTTTTATTATCATTCACTCTAGGAAAGGAGCAGAGCCAGGCAGAAACATTAGGAGGGGACATGCAATGCCTTCCTATATCTTTCTGCAGAGCATATAAACATCCAAAAAGTGATAGCATGGGATCTTCTCAAAAGACTGCCCAATTCGAACTGGGAATCTTGCCACTCTTTTGCATGTGTGTATGTGTGTGTGTGTACACATGCCATACACACTTACATATATGTACACATGCATGTGTGCAAATATGCAGACTCAAGTGTGTCCCCTGAGACATTTATTTTGTTTCCACTGCCACCGTCGTGTCATCAGAGTGTGGAACACAGTGCAAAAGGATCTAGAAATGGAGTGGGTCTGGGTTTTAGAAGACAGAAGGGTTTGTTTACCATCTCAGTAGTGGTGAAGTGCTGCTGAGAACCTCTAATGAATTCCGTTTCCTGCAACATCTGCTGGGCTGGTTTCTAAAACTAATCATATTGTTAAACAAACCATAAACAGCATCCAGGAGGGAGTGGATTCAGTTCTGAGATGAACAGAGACTGATGAACTGTGGGGCCAGGTGGATCACAGAGTCGGCCTGTCGAGTCCAGTTTGGTCCGTACTGTTCTAGAGGAGGAGTGGATCTGGCCAGCAGGAATATCTCTGAGGAGAGAAGAAGGGTGGGCTGGACTCCTAAAAGCTCTGGCAGCTCCCTCTGATGCTGTGAACCCCAGTGTGGGCCCTGCATTTCCAGGACTAGTCCAAGGAAGCCAGTCCTAGGCACCCACACACCTGTCTGACCCGTTCCTCATGCAGGAAATGATGATGGCAGCTCGTTTTGTAGGCAGGGTTCCCAGTGGGCAAGGGTACTGACCTGGGGAGTCAGCCCAGGTGGATCTGTCTCCCATCTTCCCTGTTTTCCTTGTGACCAGGTCAAGCCGCTTTGCTTCTGCATGACTCAGCTCCTCACCTGTGCGGTGGAGATGATGGATGCTGCAAGGCCAACCTGAGGCAGCCCAGGGCCCAGCAGGTTGTAAGCCCTCTCTAAATGCTACCTGCAGGGTTCTAGGTCAAGAAGAGGATGCAGGGTTGGAAAAGACAGGGAGATGGTACCCAGAGATTGGGCTGTGGCCCAGAATAGAAGTGATTTGTAAGCGGTAGCAAGTCACTCCTGGAAGGAGCTCTGCAGACCTCAGGCTGGGAGAATTCCAAGGGAGGACTCATGGCAATGAGTCTGCTCTTTCCCAAGCTGCCCAGAGGCCCCATCTGTGCGGTCGTGCATGCCCCCTCATGACCCCAGGAAGGGATTCCAGGTGTAATTTTGGCTTTCTTAGCTTGGAATTGAGCAAGCAGAAGTTGAGGGGAGAGGGGCTTCAAGGTGAATGAGTCCCTTGGGTCCAAGCCTGTGTCCTCCCTTCTCATACAAGAGCTAGAGGAAACCTCCTATAGCTGGTGTCCCCCTGAGCCCAAGCCAGGGCCTGCTGCTGTCACTGGACCGTCTTCAACCCCAGCATCAGGGAGCAGCTGCCCAGACCAAAGACTGTACCCCAAGAGCCCATGTGGCTGCTCTGCCTTCCTCACGGGCCACGTTGTATTTATCCATCTGCACAGCTGAGTCCCACTAATCTCCACCCAGTCTTGTTCCTCTTTCTGTAGCCACCAGTTTCTGGCACATTCCAGCTTCTCCATAAATTCATAAACAAATTGCACCAAACTCATGAGGCAGTATCCTATCCCAAGTGGCACAAGATCCAGACACATCATCCAAGCACACAGTCCATCTGAAAGGGCAAGACAGACAGGAGAGGGTGGCCCCCGAGGGCTGGACACTTAGGGTGTCAGATAAAGGGAAGAGCTTCAGAAACAAGAGTGGACACAGAGCCAGGAGACCTTCTCAAGCCAAAGAGGAGGGTTATTGCAGCAACTATAGAAAACCAAAGGGCACCACAGGAATGGTTTAAGAATTGAACTCCCTTGCTGATGATTTAGTAGAGAAAATATTTTTTAAAAAAAAAAGAAAAGAAAAGAAAACCAGAGGACTGCACTGGAGGACCCAGTCGGCTGAGACCCTTTGCCATCCCATGGCCAGACCTGACCACAAGTGGGCCCAGGCTGCAAAAATATTTCTAAATGTGAGCAGCCAGGCACATGTTAACCTTGAATCTTATTGTCCCCTCCACATCACCACCACCAACCTGCTATCATTCCTCTGTCCACTTGCTGAAAAATATCAGTTGGTTCAAGTGTACCCAGGGGACTCTTGCATTCAGTTTTACAGTAAGTCATGCACAGGCTGCCCAGGACCAAAGGAATAATGGATGCGCCCCCAGCTGTGACTAATGTGTCCACTGCTGGCTTTGCCTCACAAAATGTGAAGCTCCGAGGCTCAAAAGAGTTCATGTGCATCTCCACCAAAAAAAAAAAAAAAAAAAAAACCTGCCTATTCAGGGCGTCATAATGCACTCTCTTCTTTTCTCTTGATAGTACAGAATTATCATGTCACACCAGGGGTTGCTACCATTTGTACCATGCGGCCTGTCTCCCCTGTTGTGTAATTCCTAGAAGATTGGAGTAGCCCTGCTGATGGCGATTACATGAGTCAATAGTTTACCTCCTGTCCACAGCATCCTCCTTAGGGGGAGCCTCTGCGTAATGCATCCTCCTTGAAGATATATTTCTGAAGATATATTTACTTTCTCTGAAAATATCAAGCAAATTGGTATCTTCAAAACCCCTAGGCCAGCTGGGTACAGTGGCACACTCCTGCCTTAGGCTCCCGAGAGTCTCTGGAGCCTGAGGCAGGAAGATCTCAAGTTTGAGGTCAGACTTAGCAACTCAGTAAGACCCTGTCTCAAAATTAAATTTTCAAGAGCTGAAAGCATAGCTCAGTGGTAGAGCACTTGTCTAGCATGCTTAAGGACCTGGGTTTAATTCCCAGTTTATATATATATATTTCCATCCCCCAAAGGCATAGACAGGTTTAGAGAGCCACTTTTGGGGTAAAGCAAGGTATACATACTCAGTCGAGAAATGTGAGCTATCTTGAGGAGTATAATGGGTTTTTAAGAACATTTTTTAAAGTATTTTTCAACATTTTAAAGGATATTTAGTATTTATAAAGGCACAGAACAGTCAGAAAGAGAAATGGAAAGAAAACTATGTAACTTTTCATGAAATGGAAAGTAAGGTGGTAACTGATCCATCGGATCCAAAAGTGCAGAATCAGAAACAACAGTGGGAAAGAAGAAACCTGGTTTGTCCCACAAAGGCGCGAGAAGCAGCAAGTCAGATCCAGACCGGGGATCAAACAGGGACTAAGACTGGAAGAGGCTACTAGAACACCAGGTCCCTCTTCTCTGACAGCAAGTGCCGAGCTCCTGCAGCTCCTCCCCAGCCAAGGACAATAATGTTTCTCCTTGAGACAAGATAAGACAGTCCCTGACCCAAAGGTCCCAGCTTCTGCTTTAGAGAGCAAACCGAGCACCTGGATTGTCTGGAAGTTACCCACCAACTACCGTGCCACCTTCCCCTCACTGAGCCAGGCACACATTTCCTCCTTTTTTGGAGTGATGGGCTCTTTTCTGAGGGAATCCCACGAACCCAAGAGACCCTGCCCACAGCATCCTCTTTAGGGGGGAGCCTACTAGCCCCTGTGTAATGCATCCTCCTTGAACTTTCTGAAGATATAATGTTAGTGGTTTGACTGGAAGCAGTCGGGCCATAAAACCCTGCAGAGAAGCTCCATCAACAAGCAGAGGTATTCCAAATAGCTTCCAGTGTCCCCTTTCAGTAAGAGCAATAGGCAGATCCCCAGGCACTTGACGAAGTCCAGTGAGAAAGACCAAGACCGAAACAAATTAACAGATGAAAAGTAACTTGGAGGAGGCGGAGATATTGGATGGAGAAAAACCACAAAAAAGCTATCAGCAGGGCGTGGTTGTGCACACCCATAATCCCAACAGCTTGGGAGGTTGAGGCAGGAGGATGGCCAGTTCAGAATCAGCTTCAGCAGGAGTGAGGTGCTAAGCATCTCAGTGAGACTTTTCTCTAAATAAAACAGGGCCGAGGATGTGAACTCAGGGCCTTGGGCTAGGCAAGCTCTCTACCACGGAGCCATAGAACCAGCCTTTTTAAAATTTTGTTTTAAGACAGGGTCTCACTAAGTTGCCCAGGCTGGCCTCAAATTTACAATCCTCCCACCTTAGCCTCCCAAGTTGCTGGGATTACAGGTGCAGGCCACTGAGCCTAGTCTAGGTTGTAATGTTTTGAAAAGAGCTTTCCAAAGAATCTCTTAGAGAAAGATCCAAGAAATAAAAAATGGAAGGGGGCTGAAAGATAAAGATGAGGAAATCTCCCAGAAAGTGGAGTTTGGTTTGTTTTGTTAAGAAGAAGAAGGAAGAAGAGGAGGAGGGGGAGGGGGAGGAGAAGGAGAAAAGAAAATTTCCTGGGCAGGAAAGAAAAGTAATCATAGTATGCAACATGATATGACTCTCTGAACACTGTCTTAGTATTGTATTTACACAGTCATGATAATGCAGACAGAATAATGATTTCACTGTTAAAAATATAACTGTTAGAGAAAATGAAAAGGGAAGTATGTGTACCATACTCTATATGTTTGCTACAACATGCCATTTGCTCAGTACTACATCCAGGAGGCTTTTAGATCTCTCTCAGTCTTTTTAACTGCTGTATAATATTCATGAATGTCCCGTAGTTTATTCAACTATCCAGTGTTAGTTGGTTTTTAGTCTGCACAGCCCTGAGATAAAATGTGGGCACACATCATCACATCACACGGCTGAGTTCCCAGGGCTGCAAGGTTTTCATTTATACACTGCTTCTCAAGTGACTATGACAGGCTGACCCAGGCTTCTGCCAGTCTTGTGGGTGAAGCACCTGTTTCCCTAACCTCCCTGGCACACGGTATCACCATATGTTTATGTTTTCCCCAACTGAGTCGGGGAAAAGAGACCCTTGGTTTTAATTTGCTTTCTCTGGTGACAAGTGACACTAAAAACCTTTCATATTTTGAATATCTGGACACTGATATCTCCTTCTGTGAACTGCTCAATCGTTGCCTATCAGCAATATGTCCCCCTCCCTCTGAGTCCCTTGTCTCTGTTATTTATAGCACCTATTGCTGATGGATATTTTAATCTTTTCATTCATTTATTTGTTTTGCTTTTATACTTTGTGTTGATTTCATACTTCTAATATTTGATGTTATTGGGTGAAGTCCACTGCTTTTTAATTTTCTTCGAAAGTTATTGCAATATGACACTGATAATAAAAACCCATGCCCTGGGCTGCTTTCCTCCTCGGGAGAGGTTGACTACTGACTCTTACCATCTTAAGTGGCTGCTGCTGGTCCGTGCATCACACACCTCGTTTCTATTCGTGTTTTCAGATAAAACCTACATAGTTGACTTGAGTCAGGAGCGGACCATGTCAATCACCATCGAGCCACGCCCCGTCAAACAGAGCCGCAGATTTGTCCCTGGCTGCTTCGTGTGTCTGGAGTCTCGGACCTGCAGTAACAACGTCACCCTGACACCGGGCTCCAAGCACAAGATCTCCTTCCTTTGCGATGACCTGACACGCCTGTGGATGAACGCAGAGAAAACCATAAGTACGCCCCTCGCTGGTACATGGGTCTCTGGCTGCAGGCAGCTCTGCCTCTGCCTGTCCTCCCTTCTTAGGGGGGTTCATTAGGTAGGTTGGGAATTGTCTGATGTGAAATACCCACCCAAGTGCAGGTGAGCAAGGGCAGCAAGAAGGAAACAGCATGTGCAACACACCGGCTTTAGGACCAGCCTCAGTTGGAACGTGCCTCCCTTGAAATTCCCTACTGTATCTGTGCTATGTCTCTGCTGGCCTGCCAGATCCCCTCTGATGCAATCTCTCCTCTGCTTAGCCTACTCCAGTCCACCTGCCCCCGCACCCTCACTTCCGTGCTCACTGCCCACCTGTCTCCTCTGCATCAGACTGAGAAGAACTTTGCCTAATTCCATTTTTTAAAAAAAAATCCATTTAACCCCTGGTAGTGCTGAGCATGTGCTGGTCACTTAAAGAATGCTTGATGAATGAAGGGCAGCAGTGCCTACCGTCACCTCCCTGATGAGCCACTGTGAGCTTTGACATGGGTGCCCTTAGAGTCTCTACAATGCAGGAGCTGAACCCACATGTAGACTGCCAAGGTCACTCCCTTAGGAGGGGGACATGGTGGCATACACCTGTTATCTCAGTGACTCTAGTGGCTGAGGCAGAAAGATCCCAAGTTCAAGGCCAGCCTCAGCAACCTAGTGAGACCCTGTCTCAAAAAATAAAAAGGGCTGGGGATGTAGCTCAGTGGTAAAGCGCCCCTGGGTTCAATGTCCAGTACGACCAAAAGTAAATAAATAAATAAATCAGCTCTCTCCATTAGAAGTACAAGTTAACAAATTAGACCTCTAAATAATAAAAAAAAAAAGATCTCCCCGGTGGCACTCACAGATGTCTAGATGTGACTACTACAACCAAACAGCCTGCCCTCACCACACTTAGCATCCCAGACACAATGCAAACAAGAAGAGAGCCCTCATATCCTAAGTCCTGCGGATGGCCGACAGTGGGAATGGGAGAGAGCAGGGGAAATCCAGCAAAGCAGATACAGGGAGCCAGAAAAGGGGGGATGGGGGACCACAGGGACGCGACACAGGACAGACCAGAAGGAAAAAGTCTGCAGGGGAAGGCAGGGCGGGCGTGGGAGCCAGGGAGGGAGACTTCCGATCCCTGCACATAGGAACCACCAGCTTCTCTCCTAGGCTGCACAGACCACCAGTACTGCCACAGGAAGTCCTACCAGCTCCAGGTGCCCAGTGACCTCCTCCAGCTGCCCGTGCAGTTGCACGACTTCTCCTGGAAGCTGCTGGTGCCCAAGGACAGGCTCAGTCTGGTGCTGGTGCCCAAACAGAAGCTGCAACAGCACACTCATGAGAAAGTCTGCAATACCAGCTTCAGCTACCTCGTGGCCACACACCAGGCCACCCCTGGTCAGGAACTGTACTACGGCTCCTTCTGCCCTGGCCCTGGAGGCTCTATCGAGCAGATCCAGGTGAAGCAGAACAGCTCCGTGACCCTCCGGACCTTTGCTCCCGGCTTCCAACAAGAGTTCTACAAGCAGGGCCTGACCGTGTCCTTCACCCCACACTTCAAAGGTAAGGGGGACCCTCACTCTCTCTCTCCCATCTTGTTTGGGCAATTTTAAATTCATTTACTTTTTAAGTTGTAGTTGGACACGATGATACTTTTATTTATTTATCTATTTTTAATGTGGTGCTGAGGATCAAACCCAGGGCCTCACGCGTGCCAGGCAAGTGCTTTACCACTGAGCCACAACCCCAGCCCAGGGCATCCGTATTCACCTTGAGTTGTGTGAGTCCCTTAATTAAGTTGCCAATTGGGAGAGAAGCGGGTGACTGAGGCGCTGATCCCCCACACAAGAGATTTCAAAGATGACGAGTCCTGATTCCGATTTTTTTCCCATCAACCTAGGATGGAAAATTCCAGAAGTTTGAAAAGAAAAAAGAAAATGTCTCTCCCAGCTTCTGAAGGCAGTGGTTGGTAGGCAGCAGAACAAATAATCAGGTTCAATTCTCTTTTGGAAGCAGGCAGAGCGTAAATGAGAAATCACCAAATATTCCCCAGCCCTGAATTTTTAAGATGGGAACATAAAAATTCTTTTGCAGACATTTTTATGATTCTGCTTTTACAATTCAGGATGCAATGTGGAGAGAGAGCCCGAGGAGGAATTGGGGGAGGGAGGTGACTCCCTGGAGCACAAGGGTCCCTTTCTGCAGCCTGGTGAAGGTTAGATTAAGGTCTTCGTGTCCGAGGCAATAAACGAGGTCTAAATGGCTCACCGCAGTAACCTCCAGGTGGTTGATTTTAAAAGTCACAGTTGCCATGATAAGTTGCTCAGAGAACAGTGCCATTAAATTAGAGGCCATTTCAAAATTGACCAAGACCTTTATTTAAGGTTTACTTTGTATTTTTGTTCTCAGAGGCAGGAATGGGAGGGAGGTGAACTTTTAGCCATAGATTAAGATCCGTCCAGACTTCCTGATATCTCCAAGGTTACCGGAGAAAATCCTCTGGGCAACCTTTGAAATTAAGATACTCTCATTAGAGTGGAAAAGTGGGGTTTTTATCTCACCGGAAGGTAAGAAATGGATTTGTGAATGTGTTGGAAGCTGTTTCAGATTTATGATTCTAGAATTCTTCCCAGAACATGAGGGTTCTTTGGGTTTGCTGGGGTTTTTTTTCCAGTCTCTGAATCAGAAATTGGTATATACCAATCCCAATGGAGCAAGGCAGCAGACAAGCATTAGCTATGTTGAGAATTATTTCTGAGAGGAAAATGAGTTAACCACAGGTTTGGCAAACTGAACTGTTTTCTGTTTGTGTTTTCCAAAAGACCTAGACACCTCATCTGACTGGAACTAATTTTGCACTGACTCATACACTAACTATCAGCTACATGTGCTTGTTTAAATTAATAGTAAGCAAATCTAAATTGCCGTTCCTCGTTGTGTTAGCTTTCTGTCACTGTGATAAAATACCTGAGATAATTGACTTATAAGGAGGAAAGGTTTATTTGGTCTCATGGTTTCAAAGTTTTCACTCCATGGTTGCTTGGCCCTGTTGCTTTGGGGACCAAGCAGCACAGTGTATCATGGCAGGAGCACGTGACAGAAGAAACTGCTCACCTCATGGCAGCCAGAAAGCAGAGAGGAAGGGACCAGTTCCCTCGGCACCACCTCCCAATAGGGCCATAGGCTGGAAACCAAACCCATAACACCTGGGCCTTCGGGAGATATTTCAGATCCAAATTTTAGCACTCAGTCAAATTAGTCCCATTTCAATGGCAACCACACATGTGGCCATGGAAATGCTATTAAACAAGTGCAGATAGAGGATATTTCCAGGGACTAGGGATGTAGCTTCGTGGTAGAGCATCTGCTTAGCTTTGAACCCCAGCATGTTAATAAAAGAGTCAAGAATATCATCACTGCAGAAAGTCCTGCTGGACCGTGCCAATCTAGCAGATTTAACATGTCCTCCTGTACCCTTCCTTTCTCTTTTATTTTCCATCTTGATGAAGTGAAACGGTGTCTGTTTGGATCCCCTTCCCTTTTCTGCAGAGGATGGGATTTTCACCGTGACGCCAGACACAAAGAACAAGGTCTACCTGAGGACCCCCAACTGGGAGCGGGGCCTGCCAGCCCTCTCCTCCTTGTCCTGGAACATCAGTGTGCCCCGTGATCAGGTGGCCTGCCTGACCTTCTTCAAGGAGCGCATCGGCGTGGCCTGCCAGACGGGGTGGGCGCTCATGATCATCCAGGAGCAGAGGTCGCAACCAGAGGAGATCTTCAACCTGGAGGAGGTCATGCTCCCCAAGCCAAGCTTCCACTATCACAACTTCTGGGTCAACATCTCCAACTGCAGCCCCGTGAGCGGCAAGCAGCTGGACCTGCTCTTCTGGGTGACTCTCACCCCAAAGACCCTGGGTAAGAACTTCCACAGTCTTTCAGAGATGGTAGTGATCGGGAAAAAAACCAGCATCTGAAGAGCTAGGAATAAGCCTGGGAGATAAATCAGAAAACAGAGAGTCCTGGTTGTCCTTGTATCAGTCAGTTGTTGCATTGATAATGCTGCGTAACAAACCACCCAAGAAGTTAGCAGCTTAAAACAGCCATTTATTACTGCTCATGCATTGGCTGAGTGATTCTGGTCTGAGCTGGGCTTATTAGGCTCACTCATTCATGCAGCTGAAGGTTGGTTAGAGGATTTTGTTGATCTTAGCTGGGCACTTTCATACGTAAGGGGTTTAGCCAAGCTATCTGACACAACTAGGCTAACCTAACCCTTCTTTAGGTGGTCTGTTATCCTCCAGCTGGACCTGTTCTCTTGACAGAGGCAGAAAGATCCACAAGAGACTCGCAGAAGCATGCACAGTCTCTTGATGCTGGAATTGGGAACTTTTTTTTTTTTTTTTTTGGTACCTGGGACTGAATTCAGGGGTACTTGACCACTAAGCGACATTCCCAGCCCTATATTATATTTTATTTAGAGACAGGGTCTCACTGAGTTGCTTAACGCCTCGCCATTGCTGAGGCTGGCTTTGAACTCGCAGTCCTCCTGTCTCAGCCTCCCAAGCCACTGGGATAACAGGCGTGCCCACCGCGGCCGGCTGGAATTGGGAACTTTGCACTATCCCTTCTAGCACATTCGTTGGGTCTGCCTAGATTTTCTCAGCCGAACTTCCACAGTTCTGTACTCTTCATCTCTTTCTCACATGGGGGATATCTCTGCCTCCTGTGATCTTCTTTATCTGTAAAGTAGGTGATTACTATATCATAAAAGTATCATGGGGATCCAGTGTCAGGGATTAAAAATGTGACATAGATATGCAATCCTGCTATTTTTTTTTTTTAAATTTCATCCCAGTGAAACTTTGGGCTCCATGAACAGCCTCAGTCGCAGGCCTTAGAGCAGGATGGGGAATTTTCCTCTGTGACTCCAGGAAGAGTCTACATGGCAGGTGATCTGCAGTGGGACCCTGTGTTCTCCTTATGGCCAGAGTGCCACAGAGTGTTGGAGCCTGAAGGACACCGTGGAGGCTATTTTCCTGACCTCTTCCCTTTCTGGAGGCCAGAGGGATTGGATATCCCCCCGAAGGTCACACAGCTGCTTATCAGCAAGAGAACTAATGGGAACCAAAGCCTGGGTTCTCCTCCTCTCCTCCATTAATTTTCTATCATTTCTTTCCCTATTTCCTCTGAAGCGCATCTTCTGTCTTCTTGGCTCTTGGATTGACTTTCTCTTTCCTCCACTCGGCTATAGGAAAAGGTCAGTACAGATGAAAGAGCCCTCTCCTCACCCTTCACCCTTGACGCTTGACTCCCTGCTTTCTCTCCCACTCTGCTCTTCCCTCCTCCAAGACAGACTGGTTCACAATTTCTGGGTCAAGAATCTTGGCAGGACATAGCAGGATAGCTCCTCTGCACTCCAGGGCATCTGGGTCCCCTGACAGATGCCTAGAACAGCTTAAGGTTGACTGGGATGGAGACATGTCTGGGGGCCTTGGTTTTCACTTTGTTTTTTTGTTTTGTTTTTTTTTTTCCCCATGGAGTCTCCACATGGCTAGCTTGGGCTTCCTCACAGCATGGTGGTCTCAGCATAGGCAGACTTCTAACATGGTAGCTGCCTTCCCCTCACAGAAAAAAATACAAGCTGGGCAAGGCATATAGCTTGGTGGTGGAGTACTTACCTAATATGTGCAAGCCACTGGGTTCTATCCCAGCACTACAAAACAAGGTGCAAGCTGACGGTCTTCTTAAGGATCAAGGCCAGAAGTGACACAGCCACCTTCTGTTGGCCACCTCAAACTCAGGAGAAAGGAAATACACTCCCTCTAATGTGAGCAGTATGTGGGTACAGAAGGGGAGGTCCTGGAGACAGCCAAGCCTGGAGTCCACTCGGGTTCATCATTGCGCTGACCGCGCCCGTCTCATCTGTCTCCTTGTGTCTCTGCCCACAGACCTGACTGCTATCATCATCGCTGTGGTGGCAGGTGGGGCCTTGCTACTGTTGGCCCTCGGACTCATCATTTGCTTCGTGAAAAGGAAGTAAGTGGAATCCCTCCAGCTGTCTGGCTGACTCGATGTCTCCTCCGTCACGCAGCCCAGATATAGTGTTAATTATTGGCTTTGTTTTCTTGCTTCTCCTTCCTCTCCCACAAAGATCCGTGTTGAATAATATCGCTAGGTCTGAGTTATGGTTTGGGGGGGGGGTGGTGGGAGGAGATCCCATCCTAGGAGGAGATGAAGGAAAAATAAAAGCAACACGCTGTGACTTTCTGGCCGCAGCTTCTAGCTGCCTGGGCACAAGAGCCCCGTGAGTCACTCTCTTGTTTGCTCATGAAACTGATCCACACAGGGGACCTTGGCAGGAAGGTGCTCAGTAGGCCCTGCCAGGCCATTCCAGGCCTCTGGAACTGCACGCTCTCTCTCCCCTGGAGGAACACGCACACATGTTGCCCCTGCTTATTCTCCTGCAGTTTATTAGACAGACTGTCTGCTTTGAGCTTGTTTGTTAGACTCCAGACAAGCACCAAAAGGACATCTCTACGGGTGAGAGGAAGACCCATCGACCTCCTCCATCCCACCTTCCACCCCCTCAGGAGGGCAGCTTCTGTTGCATGAAAGGAAAATGACCTTTTTTAGACAGAGTCCATGCTTTGCCGCAGATTTTACAAATTCTGCTCATATTTCTGATTAAAACCATGCAGAAGAAGAGACATCTGCTTTCCGTAGCATGTTTTGACCTTCCAAAAAAAAAGCCAACAACAACAAAAATGGTTTGAAATTAACCATGACTCTGAGCAAACCAACTGAAATTCCTCATCTGCAAGGAGATGGTCTAGAAATGTCCCCAAAGATGAGGAAGTCCTGGCTCTTTGCAGGTCCTAGAGAGGCCTCTTGTCCATGAAATGTGGCTGTGGGAAGGACTTCTCTTAATGAAACGTCATGTTACTTTTCCTCTTAGGAGACTGTCTTGTCCAGGGCACACAGAATGTCCCATCCAGTGAAGAAAGCCTGGTGTTAAGACTGAGCAACAGCTTCTCACCAGGAGGGACCTGGGCAGGGGTGGGGGTCCAGCCTTGCCTCCATCTCTAAACAGCTCCACTTTGGGCCTGAGGATCACTAGCCGTGGCCTTGCCAAGGTCCCCTTGCCTGTGTGAAGCCATGTGTTGACAGGTTTATATAGGCCCATGCATCTCCAGGTTGGTGTAGCTAGGGTGGACAGATTCTGCAACACGAACCAGCAGAGACAGCACCATCCAACTTGCTCACTGGGCAGGTATTCCCTGAGGGTCTCCTAAGCACGAGGACCCACGCAAGATGCTGAGGATAAAAGCAGGAGCAAGACGCAGTCTCTTCTACTGTCCATGGGGTAGAGGAACAAAAGAGGCAGGTGAATACACAGGCAGGTTCGGGATGCAGGAGAGCTTTGGAGAGGTCAAGCAAGACACTGTGGGAGTGTGAAGGAGGGGCATCCATTAGAGACCTCAGGCAGGAAGCCTAGGAGCCCATCCTCTTGGCCAGAAACTCCACATAACAAGCTAACGGTACTAGATTTATTTTTATCTCAGGTTGCTGATCCACAATTAGTGAACTGCCAGCCCCATGCATTATGTGGTCCATTATGCTAATGGAGCTAATGTCCTCCATTCGAATCGCTCTGGTCAGCTAACAAGTCAAGCCTTCCCTGCTATTTGGCTCACAGAGACGGAAGACGAAGCTTTGTTTTCCAAGGCAGAGAGTGCTAATGTCCAGCCACGTCCAAGTACCAGAGAACATTACACTCCAAATGTTAATGGCATTATTGTGGAACACTGGCACGTGGCCCAAATTCTGTCTTCATTTTGGCTCTTATCCTCTCTAGGAGGTTACCATCGTTGGAACCTCTGCAGATGCTAAGCTCTTCTGTCCCCAAAGCGAGCAGAAAATTAGCTCCACCCTTCCCTCCTGAGTCTCCTCTACGGCCACCTGGAATCTAGATGGTCAGAGCTTTTTACCCATGTGAGAGAAAGATGAAATATTAGCTACAGGAAAGTCGTAAGAGTTCTAGAAGGTTGGCCCCAGGTGTGCAGAGCCAGATGGGGTTTAGAAGAGCTAGGACACCATTTGTTTCTAGTAAGAAAGAGGGGGAGACCTTGTCAGGTGTTCACACCATTGGATACCAGGTAATCCATCAAAGAGGATTGGAGGGGTTGAGGGTGTGACTCAGTGATAGAGCATGTGCTTAGCATGCACGAGGCCCTGGGCTCCATCCCCAGTTCTGGGGAGATGAAAGCCAATCTGAGCACAAATAGTGTTAAAGATGTCCCCTCTAAACCCTCTCTACCATCTGTGATCTCTCGGTTTCCACCTTAAAAGCCTGAGACAACAGTAGGTCATTTCAAATGTTCACTGGAGAACACGGACTTCCATTTCCACATGCTAAAGAGTTTCAGGGGCTCCAGGGAGACTTGGTCAGAACTCTGAAGACTCTAAGCTCCCACAGGGGGTTAGAAATGCGAAAAAAATCTAAGATTTTTTTTTTTCCCTGACTTCCATCTTGTTCTCTTTCTACAAATAGGAAAAAGAAAAGCAAAGGCCCTGCTGTGGGCATCTACAATGGCAATGTCAACACCCAGGTGCCGAGGCAGCTGAAAAAGTTCCATAAAGGAAGAAAGGACAATGACTCCCATGTGTACGCAGTCATCGATGACACCATGGTGTATGGACATCTGCTGCAGGATTCCAATGGGTCCTTCCTCCAGCCAGAGGTGGACACCTACCGGCCCTTCCAGGGCCCCACGGGGGACAGCCCTCCCTCCCCACCCCCCATATGCTCCAGGACCCCAACTGCAAAGTTGACCACAGAGGAGCTGCCCCCTTGCATCTCTCCTGAGTCTGAGAGCGAACCCTACACCTTCTCCCACCCCAACAAGGTGGAGGTAGGCAACGGGGACACAGACATTCCCTTGCTGGATACCCAGGAGCCTGTGAAGCCAGCTGAGTAACTTTAGATCCTTTCCAAAGACTTTGCTGAGATGCACAAAGCAAGGCACTGAGACACTCCTACTGTGTTCCTGCCCAGAACTCCTAGAGAAGCCTATGGAAGAAGAGCAGGATTTCCTGGCCGCCACTGTCAGATTTCCCAGTGGACTCGTTCCAGTGGTGAGATGTAGAAAAGGAGGGATTCGGACCTGGATACAGTCACCCTACAGTGTTGTAGGGTAGTCCATAAAGAGACGTGAGTCACCCGATAGAGGGGTCGCCACAAGCCCGGATTTGTAGTCTTGCCCACTTCATGGTGACAATTCTGATTCCTAGGAGCCCACCTGAGGTCCTGGCTCTCATTAGAGTCCCCTGGATGGAAAGGACACTGTGCCTTATTATTATTTAGGTGGTGTTCCTATGTATTTAAGTGGTTAAATGTATCACCACACAGTTCTTTTCACCTGATATAATATGGACTTGTGCCAACTGGTTCCTATGGCGGGGCTTTGACTTCTACCAGCCACTAGATAAACTTGTGCTTGTCCCCCGTGAGGTGCGATAATTTGCAGTCTGTCCCACCAGAAAAGGGTATGTGTGGGAGCTGCAGGGACACCCACCTGCTTGACACCCATCTGCTTGGGAAAGAGACTTCCTGATTCTCTGCAGCTATGTAGAGTGATCCCACTGCAGACATTTAGCTTGTGTTCCTTTGTCTTTTACTCCTAGAGAGAAATTTCTTTGAGTTGCCATGTGTGGCTCTCCCAGCGGCAGCAAGACTCTGACATTTAAACAAAAATTTAGAGAATACTTTCCTCCTCCAAAAATGTTTAAATACATACCAGAGAGTAAGCCACCTGGGTTAGCTTCTGTTGCTACTGCAACACATTATTATTTGGTGGCTTCAAAGCAACGCAAATATAATGTCTTACCGTCTAGAGATCAGAATTCCCAAATGGTTCTCTTTGGGCCAGATTCCTGGCATAGACTCTAGAATTCATTTCCTTAGCTCTGGTGACTGACTGGTCAGGTCTTTCTCATACAACATCACTGGTCACTGACTGCCCTACTTCCCTCTTCTACTTCTGAATCCAGGATGCTCTCCCCACCTCAAGATCCTTACCATCGTAGCTCAGTTGGTAGAGTGCTTGCATGCACAAGGCCCTGGGTTCAATCCCCAGCACCCCAGGAAAAGAAGAAAAAGAGATCTTTACCATCCATAGTGGAAAAGTCCCTTCTGTCATGTAAGGTAGGGATTGGGACCCTGCTGGTAGGGTGCCATTAATCTCCCTGACTCACCTTCCTGCCACTGACACCCACAGAGAAACTACAAAATGATGCAGCTCACCGGATGTTTTGTTTAGCCTGCCGTCTTTTTAAAGAATTTGTGACTAATGTTTAAAACTCCAAAATATTGCATTAAAATCCAGAGCAGAAGATCTGCCCTCACTGAGCTCACACTCAACCCAGTGATTGGCTGGACGCGGTTGTTGGTAGAAAGGTGCTCCCACAGAAATGCCGTTCCTGTAATGGAAAGACCCGGACCCTCGTCTCTTCCCCAGTGAGAAGCTAGACCACAAGCCTGGCCTGTGTTTCAGGAAAGTGTTTCCTCCTAATGTGTCTCCTTCCTGTATGCAAATCACCAGCCCCATTCCTGTGAACCTTTGCCAGCCGGCTCTGCTCTAACCTGGGAGACGAGCAGCAATGCAAAGTTCAGTACTTCCTGCAAAGAATAAAGGTGACTCTTGTTGTGTTCCTCACCCTAGAAGTGCACCACCTCTCCTGGTCAGGTGGCCTCAGTGGAAGGGCGTTGGACAGTCACCTGGATGGGGTGTACTCCACACACTTGACCTCTTTCCAGAAGGAAGAGGATTTATTTCTCTGATCATACCCTGTCCTTTTTGAAAGGCTGGCTCCGCCCACCTCCTTTCAGACTCCACCCCAAATGCTGGGGTTGACCATACATACTATTATCACTTGCAAGGTCCCCTTATGGACATTTTGCTTTTTTTGGGGGGGGGGGGAATCCTAGGGATTGAACTCAGGGGCACTTAACCACTGAGCCACATCCCCAGCCCTTTTTTGTATTTTTTTAAGAGACAGTGTTGCTGAGTTGCGTAGAGCCTCACTCAGTTGCTGAGGCTGGCTTTGAACTCTCAATCCTCCTTCCTCAGACTCCCAAGCCACTGGGATTACAGGCATGTGCCACCGTGCCCAGTGGGCTACATTTGCTTTTAAGGGAAGGCTCAAGACTCTGGGCTGAGTTGCTGGCCCCCTGATCCTGCAGGTGGGTGAGTCTTCCCTGAACCCAGGCTCAGAGAAGGGGCCCAGTCTGAGCATGTGGCTCTTTAAGGCCCAGACCCCACTTATGTACAATATTTCCAGGACTCTGGAGACCGGTCAAATGTCATGTTGATTTTTGCTGTGTGCCAGCATCGTGCCCTTCCACCCTAGATCTGCAGATGCCCAGGCAGCCCGTATGCCCCTTCTGCTTCATCTGTGAGCGGGGCTGGCTCACACAGGATTGATCTTCAGTGCTGCGGACACTGCATGGGAGGGAAAGTTCTCCAAGAGGAGTCAAGAGGGCAAGCCGAAGTCCAGACCTCAGGAGAGGTTAGGGGATGGTTCGTGTGGATCTGCAAAAGCTGGAAATAATTTATTTAATGTAGATACTTTTTACGTAGCATTTTATTCATTTCCTATGCTTTTTTAAAATAAACAAATGTACAAAACAAATGAGTATTGGGTTGTTTAAATGCTCTGACTATTCGCTCTCTGGCTCAGTAGAGGCCCCAGTTTCCCAGTTGTTTCTTTTCACAGGCCTAACAGGGGCCAGCAGCTTCTGGCTTCATTCTTACCCCAGGGCTTATTGTACAGGGAACTGGGCTTTGGGATGCAGTGTATGAAGCAGATGTTTGTAAGCTGAAATAAAAATGATCGTCTTGGGCTGGGGACGTGGCTCAGTGGCAGAGCACTTGCTGCCTGGCATGAGTGAATCCCTGGGTTCCATCCCCAGCACCATTAAAATATATATATATATATATATGATAGTCTTAGAATCTGGCTGTTGCCCATTTCCAAGTCTCTGTATGCAGGGAGAAGGAATGGAAGCTCTCAACAACTCAAGAGGCCACAGCTCATTCTGTTCTGTCCTTGTTAAGGCAGCAGCCCCTCTGTGGGACCACTCCCACTAGCTGACCCTGCAGAGGCCCGGGGCTGCCCTCCCCACTCACCCAGTCATCACCAGCCACCAGTATGGAAGTACAGGAAGGGGCAAGAGAAGGAAGTGCCAGAGGAGCCCCCGTGGACTTGGAGAGGGGGACCCAAGCACACTGGCCTGAACACATCAAAGAGATCAGACGTTGCTGCCTAGACAACCATCCCAAAATTTAGCGAGCCATCTCATCTTTTGCTCTCAAATCTGTAATTTGATTGAGCCCCAATGGGGACTGCTTATCTGTGCTCCGTGGGACCTTAGCTGGGGCGGCACAACCGGAATCCTCTTTGGAGATGGCTCTTAACATACCGGGCAAATTAATGCAGGTCATTAGCTGGGAGCTTTGACTCAGGGACATTTAGGCCACTCCACAGGGCTTTGGGTGCTTCTTCATCACACGGTGGCTGGTTTCCAAGAGTGTTTCCAGAGTCAGAAAGTGAGAAGTGCTGGTCTCTCGAGGCCTGAACCTGGTATCACTTCTACTCTATTGGATGATGTGCCCGTCACCCAGATTTAAGGGGAAGAAACAAAGGCCCCCACACACGCATCTCAGTGGGAGAGGTGTCAAAGGACTTTTGGCTACAGTGGGGCAGGGAGATCAAGTGTCCTGTCCTTGAATGGCACTGACGGCCTTGACCATCATGCTCTTGATTTACCCAACATCTGGTCTACACCCCACCCATCTGCTGGATGATGGCACCTCCAGTGTACCACCCAGCCCTCCCCACCCCTTCTTCCAACCCACCCAGGACCTCAGAGCCGAATCCCATTGGGGCTCAAAATCCTCAGGCTGTGTCAAGGGACTCCTGCCTGCAGCCCTCTATGTGCCATCACCCGGGACAGCTTGTGGCAAAAGCTACCATCCCTCCCCCTGCCCACTGATTGGAAATCCTACCAGTGCTCCAGACTGTGCCAAAGAACTCGCTTCCTCCAGGAAGCTCTCCAGCCCCACCAAGCTGTACCTCTAAATCCCAATCATCTTTCTGATACATAATTCTGCATTTAACCCCATTAGGCTTATGGCTAACACGTTTGTACTTGCCTGTCTTTTTACCTAAGAAGTATGTACGTTTTCCAGATGCAGGGGCCCATGTCTTGTACGTTATTCATCTGCCTCATACCATCTCGCACAGTGGGTGCCCTAGAAATAACATCTGTTGCATTTACTAGTCCGAATACACTCCTTGCACTTAAAGCAGGGACTTCAGGGAAGTGTTATTCTAGGGCATCCTGAGGGAGGGAAGGAGGTTGATGTCAGGTTTTGCAAACCCTATCTCACCTCGCCCTCTGATAATTCCAGTTTACTACTGAGAAACGAAGGCCCAGCAAGGTGCCCAAGGTCACAAACCAGCAGAAGGCGGGACAGCAATAGCTCAGTGGCTCACCAGCGCCCTCTGCTGCTAGGCTGGACTTGAGCTGAGAGACAGGCTCAAGGAAGGGGATGCGGGGAGTCTGGTGGACCTCAGAGCTCCCCAGAGGGTCCTTGTCTCCCCTGTCCCCATTCCTTCCTCCAGGAGGCCATAAATTTTGGAGGAGAGAGCAAGCCTGCTTCCCGCTTCAGGCCCCCTCTGGCAGCTCCTCCTCCATGGCAGGCCCACTCAAGGGTCTGGGGTTCCAGCCACAGGGCAAAGCATCAGCACCCCAGGCCACTGCCAGATCTGCCTTCTCCACCCTCACCCCTGCCCTTCAGCCTGCACCTCTCACAGACTCCTGCTCCCCAGGAAAGAGGGGAGTCCCATTTAAACCCAGGTGGCTTTGGGAATGTGTCAAAGGGGTGCCACATCAAGACGACCTGGGCCTGCCCTCCAGGACATGCAAACAAATCCCAACCCGGAGGCTCACCTCCCTCTGTTGGGGGCATTGGCCGGGCTGCTTCTTGGCTTTAAAGATTCTCATGGGGAACAAGGAGGCGTGGAACTCAGTCTCCACCTGGCTGGTTCCCTCACCTGCCTCTGGCCTCCTAGGAACCTTTCACAGGTGAGCCAGCACTGCCTCTTCCCCACCCTGTGATGAATGAGGGGACAGCAGGGAGCTGGGCTATGAACCTTCAAAGCCCAAACAACAACACACCAGGAAAATGTTAGCTGTGAGTATCCCACAGGACTCCAGAGAAAGGACAGAGAGAGAATTGATGTCAGCGAGGAGCCCCAGCCTCACCCTCCACCTTGGGCCCACAAATGCTGGTGGTCCTGCCTGGTGAGGGCCAGGCCACCTCAAAGCCCTCGAGCAGCTCCCTGGTCCCACAGTGGACTGTAGCACAAGGCTCAGAGCTCAGAAGAGCCACACTTAGTCTCCACTGTTGCCGGCTCAAAATCCTTAAATAATTTCCAAACCAGGGACTGACATTTTTAATTTGCCCCTGGGCTCCTACCAATTCTATAGCCAGCCCTGCCTGGAGTCAGGATGGTTACCTTCCCCTTTCAGAGGAAGAAGCAGTCTTTGAGAGGTTAAAGCACTTGCCAGGACCCCACAGCTAAGTGACACAACCAAGATTTGAGTCTGGAAGCCCCTTAATCCCCCTCAACCTCTTTCCTCAGCCTCCCCCCTCAGCCTCTCCTTTCCTATCCTGTGACCAGACTTTTAAAACACTCTCAAATGTCAAGCCTTCGGCCAACCTCTGCACTTCAAATCCACCTTCCTTGCTTTCTTTGTACTCCTTTGTATTTATCTCTAAAAAGCTAGATATTTTATCTTGCTTATTGTTATTCTTCCAACTAAATTGTGAGCTTCCCCAGGCAGGAATTATTGGTACATTTTGCTCACCCCATACCTTGGCCTTGGAATAATGGTACCTGGCACGTGGAAGGCAGTTTCAGGCAGGCTGTTCCACTGGATGGCCCTGGGACGCAGCTCCTGAGCAGCCCTTTGTGACCTGATGGTTTTTTCCCACAGCCTCTCAGCTCTGTTTAGATGGGGATGACCACAATGCCTCTTCTGTGTCCTGCATTTCCACAGAAGCACAGGTTCACACCCTGGGTTTTGGCAATTGCTGTCTGAAGTCCGGGCAGTCCTTCCTGTGCAACCGAGCCCCGCACCCATGGGATCCGACACTAGTTCCAGGTACAGAATGGAATTGGAGGATACCTGATACTGGAGACCGGAACTTCTGACTTGGTCATGACAGAAAGGGCACCAAGCCAGGTGAGTGGGAAGGTGCAGGTGAGGCTTTCATGGAGGGGCCGGAGTCACCTGGAGGAGAAGGGAGACAGCACTGAATGTGGAGTGACCCACTGATGGCAGGACAGCCCCTAACTTCATTATAATGTCATCTGCAGGCTGAATGACAGCCCAGGCACCATGACAGTTGACAATGGCCATCACAGTGACCAGAAAGAATCATTAAAGAAGCCAAAAGAGGTGGAACCTGAATTCCCAGGAAATATCCACCCACTCCCGAGGTGGGATAGAAGACATAAGGATAGGGAGAAAAGAGGCCCCTTGGACAACATGATTGGCCATGATTAAAAGTCCAGATTTAAAGGTCATGTTCTCATACCTTTGTCACAAACAGTGCCATTAGATCGATTGCCAGACCTTGTCCACAGGTACACCAATGTCATAGTGTTTAAATTCACAAAGCAGAAAAAAAAATGACCCCCACCCGGGTAATGGTCAACCTCTAGTTACCAACACCAACAGGAACTGAAACACCCTGTTAGATCGAGTCTGTACTAGATTTCACCCGTCTAAGTGCCCCCGAGATGTAGCTATCCCGTTCTTCTCCAAGACCCACACTCCACCCTTTCTCTCACTAAGATCAATCTGTGCCTCCCTTTGTCACCTCCTTAAATTCCTTTCTGTGACAGTGTCCAGGAAAATCACAGCCTGAGTTGAGGTCCACCTCCCTTCTGGGGGACTCCTCAGGACCCCCCCACCCCAGAGGCATGAATATTCCTCCCCTTTATGAATTCTCCAAGAGTCAAGGAAAGGACCCAACCAGGCGCGTGGTGGTGCACATCTGTAAAGAGGCTGAGAAGGAGGATCGCGAGTTCAAACTCAGCCTTGGTAACTTAGCCAGGCCCCTAAGCAACTCAGTGAGATCCTGTCTCTAAATAAAATACAAAACAGGGATGAGGATGTGTCTCAATGGTCCAGTGCCCCTGAGTTCAATCCCTGGTACCAAAAAGAAAAAGAGTAAAAGGATCTAGTTTAGGATCAAAAATTGATACCATCACCTCCCAAGATCCTGTAATAAGCATGTAACTGAAACGCCAATTAGTGTCAATTTACTAATGAGGACAAGGTTTTGAGAAAAAGGAAAAAGAAGGTTTATTGCTTTGCTAGCAAAGGAGAAACATAGGACTCCTCTCCCAAAGGCTGCGACTCTCCCCATCAGGAGGGACTGTGGGGGGTTTAAAGGAACTCTTCAAGGTTGACATTCCAGGTGTGCTCTGGTAGGGGGTCCCAGGGCGCCCGGATGGCATGTTAGGATTCACTTGTTGATTTGGGAGATGTTCGCCTCCCAGATCCTCGGTAGGCATCTCCTTTCTGTAGTGGGTATG